TGAAATCCCATAAAATCTGAGTATTTTGAAGAATCTTGTATGTCTCATTCAGCATTAAAATTAAACAGTTGGAGAAAATGCACCTGTCCCTCCTGTCTCTTGGTGGTGTTTATTTCGGGTCTGATCAGCCAAACCAAACAGATGGCTAAAGAATTATCATGAGAATTGGCCAAGAGAAGTTAAAAGTCACTCACATGATTGAAGGAGAACTGTCCTGTGCCTCTGTGTTCAGCTTTGCAGCACGGTGGCTGCACACTTGACGTTGCTGTTTGAGGCGACACAGTCTGTGATTTGTGCAAGGTTGGAAGCACCAGAAATTCAGGAGAGAGGACAGCGTATTCTAAGGTGCAGACCCACCATGCGATGCCCCTTCACCCTGCTGCATGGCTGCAGCCAGAAGCACGGGGAACAGCAGGCATGAGGACTCAGAGCCGGATCCAGAGCAGTGCGGGTGGGACACAGCCTGGTGCGGCCATGCTGGGGACAGCAGCCCAGCAATCCCATGCCCAGGTGTGCAGCCAGGAGAGACCTGGCCACAGAGACGTGTACACATGTGTCCATAGTGCCGCTCACAGTGGCCACAATGTGGGAACCCCCAAGTGTCCGTCCTCTAGTTAGAGTGCAGAGCGGGTGTGCACAGCCGTGCAGTGGACGGCTCTTCAGTCTTAAGGAGGCTCTGACACGTGCCGCAGCAGGGACGGACTTGAAACAGCGCTCTGTGAAATCAGCCTTATTGCAGTCTCTTACCGCAGGATTCCATTTATGTGAAATGTCCAGAACAGGCAAGTCGGTGGAGGCGGACCGGTGGTTAGCAGGTGGGACAGGGTGGAGGGTGCCCTGAAGTTGGTCGTGGGGAAGCCTGCACAAGTCTTGAGCACGCTGGGACACAGCTGTGCGCTGCAGCCGATCACTGGGTGGTGCCTTGCATGCGGTGGACATGGGACGGGCTCTGGCTCTTGCGCTGTTGGAGAGTGACCGTGAGAGCAGACCTGTCCTCGGTCCCCTGGTGGGTCAGTGCCGGCTGTGCCCTGGGTGTCCACTCCTTCACACAGGGGGACCCAGGTGGGCAGAGCTTGTTGGCCCCGTGAGAAAAGCAGACAGAGACTGGAGGGAAGGGCTTGGCCACACACCCGCGGGCACCCACCATGGTGTTCTGTGGCCGAGCAAGTGCAGGCGTTGTGGTCAGGCCCAGCACAGAGGCCTCGCGCCTTCACGCTCAGTGTGTGAGTGTGTTAACCGTGTGTGTTAACCGAGTGTGTTAACCGCCTGTTAGACGCGGTTCAGTGAGCGCCGCTCACGCTGAGAGGAAGAGCCTCAAGGTGCTGTTTCCCAAACTCATAAAACCACAGACGTCTCTCCACGCTCCCATCCCTACCGCACACACGTGCGTGTGCTCCAGGGAACACACGAGAAAAACTCAGGAGGAAGGGGCAGTCGGTCCCGCCAGAAGCCCCCAACTTGGAGGGATCCCGGCCCCTGTGGTGATTGTGCCCCTGACACTGTCCCTGGACTGAAGGTCTTTCATGGCAGCCGTCCGCTGTGACCCCGTCCACCTGCAGCACAGATAGGCCAGCTGGTGGGGTGTGACAGTGTCCACGGCCCTGTGAGTGTGGAGGGAGCCGTGATCAGGCGACCAAGGCTGTGCTGCCTGAGAGGAGAGCGTCGGAGCGGAGTGGCCCTTCCAGGCACTGAGGACCGTGCATGGAGGGCCCGCAGCTGGGCCCTGAGCGTGGAGGTGGCACCTGTGAGGGGCACTCGCTGAGGGCGGGGGCAGCACCTGGTTGGGACGTGCCGCTTATTCTTGGAGCAGCAGGAAGTTCTGCCTCTGGTGTGGGTGGCGGGAGCCAGCTGGGAGGTGAGGAGAGATGGTTGGGGACTCCGGGCATTTGGAGGAGAGGCCAGCAGGGCATGGGGGGTGTGGGGTGGGGACTCAAGGACTGCCTGTGACCACCAGGGAGGACAGGCTCCTAGGAGGCAGCCAGCTGGACTCGGGCACCAGGTGCAAGGCCTGGTCAGGCTCCAGGGTGTGGGACCAAGTGCTTAGCACTGTCCCTCTGAGCTCTGCCCCCAACCTGGGCTGCAGGCTGGAGGCGACTTGGGTCAGTGGCCTGGGACGAGGCTCTGCCTGGAGGCACAAGGCTCCGCAGTGGCCCACGTCAGTGGAAGGCTCAGGCTCGGAGGAAATGCTGAAGCTGGCATGGCACAGCCGGCCTGGCAGAGGAAGCTCGCCGTGGCCGCTCCTGCACCAGCCACCTCGGCGCTTCACGGCCAATCGGACCCCGACGGGTGTGGAGACAACCCGTGACCACGGGGAGCGCCAGCAGAGCCTCCATACAGCGTGGCACCAGCAGAGAGGGACAGCACACAAAGGCGGGACGAAGTGACGGAGACGCGCTTAGCCTCTAGGAAGAGGCCTGGGGTGCCACCCTCGCCCCTGGAAGAAACGGAGTAGCTAAGGGAACGCACAGCGAGGTTTTTGTCTCATAATGTCAACGGAGACTTATTAAAAACATCTCATCGTACAGCAGTGCCTGGAAGTGAGCGTCAGCAGGGTTGGGAACGTGGCCACTAAAGCAAGTCACGTCGTGGTTGGCCGTGGTCATAGCAGTGGCTTCTGCCGAGAGACAGCACAGGGGTTGCACACCGTCTCCACAGAAGTCCAGAGTCACTGGAACTCACCTCTGTCGAGGCGCGATGCTGCTGCCTCCCAGCTTCCACTCAGGACTCACACCCCACAGGTGGGTACTCACCCCCGCCGTGGGCAGGGCAGGCGCCTCCCTCCTGGTGGGTGGGCTGCAGGGTGTCTGGCCCACTGGGCTCTGTTGCTGTAGGTCTGGCACTTTCCGGGGGTCCCCTTTCTGCCCTAGGGGGCTGCGTCCCCCTGCTTTGACCCAACCTTGCCTATTGACGACGGGTGTCACTGGGGATTGCCTTCAGTCACTCACTAGTGGTGTTGTTTGGTAACGTACTTTCTGGAAAGTACTAAGAATGTGAGATACAGATAGGTGCAGGTATGAGGTCATCCAACAGCCGGAATCTACACTCACACAACAAACAAATAACAGATCTCTTTCTGTCACAAAGGGCATCTCTCCTGTCATGCCCCATCACCACCAGGTCTTCGCTGAGGCCTTCCTGGCACCTGGCACGGTGGGAGACTGGGTGTCAGAGCCTCTGATTTCCTGCTGGGGCCAGCGGGCAGGAGCTGCCTCAATAGCAGTCTGGACACAGCCCCTAAGTGTCCCGAGGAGCCAAGTCTCCTGCCTCTGCCTCCATCTGCGGCACTGCACGGCCCTTCTCCCAGGTTGGTGCCAAACTCCCCTGACTTGTGAGGCTGTAACCCCCAGCCTGTCAAGGCTACTGCATCGCAACTGGCGACAGGCACGTTGCTGTGTGTCCATGTCAATACTGGCTCACTTTTTGTGCACATAAAAGACCTGTTTTTTCAAACATTTCTCTGTCCCTCTCTGGACCAAGGGCCCTGCGTCTGAGGCAGCGCCCTGCAGCTAGCATTGGGGAATGAGGCTGGGCTTGTGTCTGCTTACAGGGTTCACGCAGCCGCAGGCATGCTCAGGTTCTGCTTGGTGTCCGCTGGTGTTTCACCTGCACTTAGTTTTTGTTTTTAAGAACCAGGGCCTAGAGTCAAACAAGGCTGAAGTTCGGGCCTCCTCGGTTTCTCCTTTCCCAGCTGGTCAGCTGAGCCCTGACCTGAGGGGCGTACGGGTACATCCGTCTGTGACGTCACTCGGGGTCTGACAGGTCCACTGGGACTAAATAAATAAGGTCCCCTCCACAACGGTGCAGGCACAAGGACACGCACACCGAGGAACGGTGCAGAGAGCAGCAATGCCCAGCTCTTCTGCAGAAATCCCAGTGCAGGGGCACGAGTCCATTTCTGTTGCTTATAACAAAATACCTGAAACTGGGCATTTGTAAAGAAATGAAGTTGACTTCTTACAGTTTGGAGGTTGGGAAGTCCAAGGTCCAGGGAACACATCCGGTCAGGGCCTTCTTCCTGGCGGTGGCTTTACAGCCACGTGGCGTGTCACATGGCACGACTGGGTTGAGCGACAGCTCACCTGCTTACGCGCTCTCCTAAAGCCACCAGAATCGAGTCCGTCACCCCGTGAACGCATCAACGCATTCGTGAGGGCACAGTCCTCACAATCAAAGGCCCCGCCTTTGAATCGCAAAACTTGAATTTCCCAGCCTCTTAACCCTGTCACAAGTGGGGGTTAAATTGCCAACCCGTGAACTCTATGGGGACACATTTGACTCGTAGCAGCGAGCTTTTCTGCAGAAATCCTGATGCAGGGGTGTGGGGGTGCTGTGCTAGGACTCTGAGCCCTTCCTAGTGTGTGGTGCCCAGAGTGTGCCACACAAAGGGAACACGGTTACGGCCACTGGGCCAGCCAGGCACACTGGCGTGGACAGGCTCCATGTCTGCAGGTCTGAGATGCTGGGAAACGTTCGAGCTCCAGCCTCAGGCACCCCAAAGCCCTCAGTTCTCCCCGTGCACATTGGCCTCAGCTCACAGGGGAGGCACAGTCATTCAGACATCTCGAGGGATTTTTAAAAGAGTCATGAGCATGGGTGTGATGTCTGAGGAGGACGGTAAAGTGTCACATGTGGCGATGGCTTGTCCAGACAGTCTTATTCACAAAGAGCCCAACATCTCTACATAAAACTGCGTCCACATGCCCAGGACAGTGCTGCCTGGTGTTCTGTTATGAACTGAATTTTGGGTTTAGTGTTTTGTTTTTGAATTTTCTCAGAGCAGTAAAGTGGAAGAGAAACATACCATAAGTAAGGAGCTGTGCACGCCTGCACGTGTGTTAACCTTCCTCCTGTACGTGTGCAAACGGACACAGACGACTCCCTCCACGCTCACGTGCCCGCCAGGACCAGAGAGCAGGTGCTGCCTGCTCTGCACCTGGGCCACACGCTGGCGGGGTGGACTGACCATAACTCTTTGAAGTGTTTTAATAAGGTATGACATATTGCAAAATGAATAGATTTTTATTATGCCTAGAAAAAACCTCAATTACCAGTTGACATTATTTTGCTGTATCCTTAAAAACAGTGCCAAGAGGGAAAACGGAAAATCACCTGCACAAACTCACACATTGCCAGAAAGCTGTACTTGCTTGGCTCGGAAGACAGAGCCTGGGCTGTTCCCTGCCTCGGTGGAACCACATGAACCCAGTGCAGGCCCATTGGTCTGCACCCTTTTCTACTCTTCCCGGAGGTGAAATGTGGCAGCTGTACCACGAGGAACAGGACTGTTCAGACATGAGTCCACCCGTGTTTTGCTTCCATAGCTGAGGATGAGACTCCTGCCTCCTGTCAAGCTTCCGTGTGTTCACTCAGCCCCACCAGCTCCTGCCTGTGTCCACCCGGGATGCTGGTGGCACCAGAGACTGGAGCAGCCTCAGGTGCCCACGTGCGCCAGCCCGCCCACCTCCCCACCCCCTTTTCTGCTCTCAGCGGCCTGACCTTTGCATTTCTTGACAGTGATCGAAGCCACCCTCCGTCCACTCTGATCTGTGCCCGGCGTCGTGCAGGGGACTGAAGACACGGCACACCAAGGAACAGCTGCTCCCCAGACCCACCTTGACCTCATCGCAAGCAGGTGACACAAAAGGCTGCGGCTTCCCCGCCCTCTCCCGGCCTCGCCACCCCCTTCAGCAGGAACAGTCCCCAGCAGCCCCGGTTGGAAGCACCGTGAGGGCCACCAAGAGCGCCCGAGCAGAGATTCCCTGTAGTGCTCGGGGCCTCATTTTGGGATCATAAACGAAAGCAGATACGAGTGTATTTTTCTACACCTATGTATGGTTTTTATGGGTTACAGAGAAGAGCTTTATATCTGGAAATGTCAGGGGGTCAAGTGTCTTGTCTGCACGTGGCATCGAAGAGAGGAAAGCAGGAGGGATGGGCCCGGTCCACCTCCGCCACGCCCACACCTGGGACCTGGAGCCGGATGCCGGGCTGGGGACAGCAGCTCACGCCAACACCGAGCGCGCTGCACCCGCCCCAGAGTGCGCGGGCCACGGTGTGCTGTCACCGGGCATGCGGGCAGCGGCACTAGGCCGGGTGGAAGTGGTGGTGGTGGTGGTGGTGGTGGTGTTCGTGGTGGTGGTGGTGTTCGTGCCGCTGCAGCACGGGCACCGCGCAGCCCTCGCCTGCCAGCATGGGCGGCAGGTCCCGCACCAGCTCGTGCTCCACGACAGCAGGCTGGCCGTGCATGGCCTTGAGTGGCGAGTGGCCATCCCTCCCCTTCTGCCGGTACCGCTTGTGTCCGTAGGGCTGCAGCGGGGGCTGTGGTGGGGGCTGCGGGAGATGGTGGCTATCCTGAGGGGCAGGGGGCAGTGGGCCAGTCGGCAGGTGGTAGCTGAAGGCTTTCCCTGGCTTGCTGCTGCCCGGCACCCCAGGCGGCTTCCCTGAGCCCTTGGGGGACTTGAGGAACTGCTTCTCCTGCCCCTTCAGCCGGGGCTGCATGTCCAGGGCCCGGGCAGCAGGCTCCGCAGCCAGCACGGTGTGCTCAGCCAGCACCTGGGACCTGCGCTGATGCACGGCGTGGGCGTCCGACTCCTGGGAGCGCGACCTGGTCTGGAGATGCGAGGCCCTGCTGTGGTGCTCCTGCTTGGCCTGCGCTGGTGGGGACCCTACAGAGACAGGACACGGAGCGTGAGGCCCTGGGGTGCAGGGTCCGGGACCCGGGAGCTAGGTTTCTGTCTGTCTCCTCTTCTCAAACATGGCGTCTGACCCAGGGCTACTGGGGGAAGGACTGCACCACAGCATCCCCACCTGAGGCTGGACTCAGCTGGGTCTGCAGTCAGATGGCCACATGCCCCAAAGCAACATCAGGGTAGGGAGCCCAACATCTGGGCCTCAGGAAAGGGGCCTGGCCACCTTGCAAAACCTGCAGCCCGGCCCTGCCTGGCTCCCCTGGAAGTCAGACCCCCCCAGGTCCCCACTGGGGGTGCTGTGAATGGAGCTTCTCTCCTGGCACAGCCCAAACCCTGCCCGGACCTGGGGCGGAAAGCTGCCTTACATCAGGAAATGCTCCAAGAAGGCGGCCCGAACCCGCTTCCCCGAATGCCTCCTGTATGACAGTCTTCCAGGAGGACCCGGCTGCCATCTCCACCAAATGAGTGAAGCCCTCCGGAGCCACCCGGTGCAGAGCAAGACTGAGGAGGCAGGTCTCCAGGCAGCCCACCCAGCCCGCTGGTGATGGCAATCAGCTGCGTCCAGCTGAAGGGACAGTTTAGCCACCTGTGCCCTTTGCCCCAAGCCTTTGGTCCAGACTGGAAAGAGCTTCTTTCAGATATTTTTTAAACGTTTGAATTGCTCAGGCTGACCTCTCCTGCCCCTCAGGGACTGCTAAAGGGGGGTGAAGAGGGGACTTGGCCCAGCCCCTGGGGCATGGGCCGGGCTTTGGGGGTGGGGTTGGGCTGCAGGCGCTGGGCTGGCCATGCCCGACACACTACAGGACAGAGCCTCATCTGAACAAGCGGGCGGGCGAGCCCCTCCAAAAATGCCATTTCTCACCCGGGGCAGGCACACCCCATGCACACACGCCTAGACGGGGCCACCTTGCTTTCGGGAGGCACCGGCAACGGGGGCGAGACCCGGGTCCACCTCTGGGCATGTGAATGACGAGGGTGCCGGGGTGCCCTCTGGGGCTCAACGCTGCAGGAGCTCCAGAGCTGCCCCGGGCCTTGTGCCTGCGGTGGCCTCCAGTACCTACCGGGGCCGAATTTGGACGTGTAGTTCTCGATCCCGGCGAGGTCCAGGTAGTGGTTTCTTCGCTCCGTGTTCTCATCCACGCAGTAGGGCCCCTGCACCGAGCAGGGTGGGGGGTCGCCATTGGGCCTCCTGCGGGGAGCACAGAGGAGCAGGGGCCTGACCACCCACTGTGCCAGAGCAGGCTCTCCTCAGATGAGGGGGTGCTTGCTGCAGGGGGTACGGGGGTCTCGGGGTGGGGGTGCTCCAGCCAGCACCAACTGCTGGGGCAGAGCAGGAGAAAGTACGGACGATTGGATCCTGACACGGCCGAGTGTCATCTAGATAAATGAGGTCTGCAACCGGCATCCCAGGGCCCCTGCCTCCAAGAGGTGGAGATGCTTGGCTGAGCAGCACACACTGTGGTGTCCTCTGGTCACCACTCTGTGACCACTGCCCAGTCACCCCCACATCTGCCACCTCCAAAACCATGAGTAGAACCACAGGGCACCAGAGTAAGCCTGGGCTGAGGGCATCATGGTCCCCTGGTACCGCCTGTCAACGCTTCACCCCTTCTCTCAGACACTCAGGGCTCAGCTCAGCCAGGGCGCTGGCCGCCGGGCACAGCCTGAGCTGGGGGTCCTCACCCTGTCCTGGCAGGTCTGCAGGAAACTGGTCTAAGGAGCCCCATGGCCCCAGCCCCTCACCTGATGTGGGCAGACAGCCTCCTGTCGGCCACCCGCGGGTCCTCAGCCTGCTCACCCTCTGTCCTGTAGCGGGCGGGATCCCGGTCTGGAAGAGGGGACCTGTGTCCACTCACTCGTCCCCTCCTACGCTCACTCACCCACTACCGCCCTCACCCACTCACCAGCCCACCCAGCCACTCACTCACTCAGGCACCCACCCACTC